ATTGAAAGGGATTCCGACATGATTTAAGAGCAGTTAAAAGGCTGGTTACCAAAGTCATGAGCTGTAGTGGAATGATTTGAATTCATATGCCGCACGGAAAACAACTTTTGTAAAAAAAAAAAAAAAATACTTTTGAATATTATCATTGCATTTTTTTAGTAAGTCTTTTATTATTATTATTATCAAAATACATCCTGTTGGCGTAGGTAAGTAAATTTAAGTATTTTATGATAATTTTGCTTTTCCCTACCATAATTCCTTAGTTAGCATTCATTAACGTTACGTCCTGTTATGTTAATCATACTTATTATAAAACCCAGTTTGTGTGTGTGTGTGTGTGTGTGTGTCTGTTCGTTTATATATTGGATCGGATTTCCTACATTTTTTAACCGATTTCAACAAAACATCACAGAACTACGTAAAATTACCTTGCGGTGGTTCTGACAGCTCCAAAAATAGGAAAAACACGTTGTTTTTGCACGAAATCAATTTGAAAACAGGATTAAGAGTCATCGCTAACGCGAGAATGAAAGAGTGACAACTCATATCGAGTTATACTTATTATAAAACTCAGGTTGTGTGTGTGTGTGTGTGTGTGTGTGTGTGTGTGTGTGTGTGTGTGTTCGTTTATATATGGGATTGGATTTCCTACATTTTTCAACCGATTTCAACAAAACTTCACTTTTTTTTGGCAGGTAGTGTTTCTTATTGCCTTGCACACTTTTTTCTTTATTTTTACATTCAGAATGCTTTAAAAATTCCATTTACAAGACAATTGTTTATAATAAAATTCTATTCAATCGGTAGACTCATAACGATTGAAAACAATGTTTTTGTTTGAGTTTGGGTTTGACCAATTCGTTAAAAAAACAAAAAAAAAAAAACTAATTAAGACATGCGTGTCCGTCAACCTTAAACAATAATCTTTGTCAATTTTATTTTTCAGTCTTTATGATGGTCGATACTTGATCTATCTCTTACTGTTACATCCCCGGGCAACGCCGAGCTCTACTGCTAGTACATCATAAATAAATAACTATTACGTTTTGAATAAGGGAAACAACATATCAGAGACGTTACTTGGTTTCAGTAAGGAAAAATAAAGAAAAAAGAAAGAAAGAAGAAGCGATAATACACCTTTGTGTTTAACGTCTTTCGTATCAAAATGTGAAATGAAAGTTGTCCTGAACGGTCACTCTTCTAGATCCTTCTGTACTAATGCATGTGTTGCCCAGGGCTCTATCCTTGGTCCCACTTTGGTTTTAATTTTCATGAACGATCGTCTTGATGACATCAGCTGTCAACTTGGTATCCATGCTGAAGACACAACCATTTATTCCTGTCTCGATAGTAAGTCTTATCAGTTCAATGAGGTCAAATTTAGCAGCTATCTCACAAACAACCTACAGTCTATTGTTAACTGGAGCAAAGAATCGAGTGTTATTTTTAAAGCCTCTAAAGCTGCTCTCTGTTAAGCATCTGAGAGACCGCTTCTATCAGGATGGCTGATACTAACCTCCAGGAGTGTGTCTCGCTGCGCCTTCTCGGGTTAATATTCAGGGATGCCATGAAAGACTACACTGAATCTATTGCTAGGTCAACTGCTAAGAAATTTGGCTCTCTGTGTCGTGCTGACAATTTTTCTCTCCAGAACCTATCTTCAGTCAGTTATGTGCCATGAGTGATACGCGCTTAGGCGATCATGTATCTTTCGATACATGACAGTCGAGGCAGATTTTTTCCCGCAGTAGGTTGCCATTTCTTTCTGCGGTAGACCAGTTGCCACCCATACTATAGAACCCAGTCTAGGAAGAAGAGGATCCATACCTTTCAAAAGTGTATTCGCATTCCGATTCCTCAATCCGAGCCGCTATCCATTACTCGACCGTGTCTCCTCTTACATATCTACAGAACCTATCTTACATAACTATGTCTACCATTCGTCCATGCCTCCAATATTGCTGCCACATATTGTCTGGTCTTCTGGCTATATATTTAGAGAACTTGGGCTCCTCGACGTGGTGTAATCGTTAGAAAGCTTGTCTTTCTAGATCAGCTAATACTGAGTGGTGAATTTGATCCTCATTGGGTACCTCATACTTTCGGTATTGTGCTACATCTAAGCCTCGCTTAGAAAATCACTATGATAAAATCCAAAGAAGAATCTGCAATATTATTAGTCTTGACCTGGCGTCTCGGATTCAGTCACTTTCCCATCGCCGTAAATTTGCTTCCCTGTGCCTTTTCTATAAATACTTTCATGGTAATTGTTTGAATGAGCACTTCAGTATAGTACCTAGACTTTAGGAATTTAAACTCAGTACTACATTGGTAAGAAGGTTTCATCAATTTACCGTTGAGTTGATTAGATGGAACCGTAAGTTTTATGTTAACAGTTTCTTCTCTTGCAATTCTCGCTTGTGCAACACTCGTCCGGCTTTCCAGTCAACTTTGATCTTCAAAAATTTAAATACCATGTCAATCGTTATCTACTGTCTTCCTGGTTACTCTTCTATTGATCTCGCTCCTTCACGGTGTTTTCTGTTTTCTAATTGTTTCACACCTAGTAACCTCTCGTGTCTTAGTGGCTTTACTGCCTTGCATGGGGTAAATTGGATTAAAAAAAAGAAATGGAAAAAAGTTGTTAATTTTAAATCTTTTCAACCGGCCTGTATATAGCAGTTTAGCACATTTTTCTTTGTTACTAACGATATTTTCCTATAATTAGCAGCATTTTTTTAAACGATTTCACCCCATGCAAGCAGTAAAGAGACTAAGACATAGGGTTAATAGGTGCAGAAGAATTAGAAACAGAAACATTACTAATAAACGGGAAGAGAAAAGAGTAACCGGGATAGTAGTTAGCGATTGACATTGCATTGAAATTTTTGAAGATTAAAGTTTTTACGGCTAAAAATATTTCTCTACAAATACAAACGGTTTAAATATTCAGGCAACATTTAAACAAAAAGCGCGTATATTTGCAGAGCGACTAATACAGCTTGTTGTTAAAGAAAGAATCTTATATATTCAATCGATAAAACCACAACGTGATACACAGTTGCAAAAATATCCACCCCCGTCTGGAATAACACAAAACACGGAGACGACTAAAATAAAAATAAAGCGTTTTAAAATTCATGGCACGAAGAGTAGCATAATTTGATCATAACACCGGGTAAAGATATTTTTAACATAAGGCAGGCAGTAATCAAGAGTGGGTAAATAAATTCGAGATTCCGAAGACATGAGCACACCACGAGAAAATAAGATATGGTGTTTGACTGGAATGTCACGTGGTTGAATCTGAACAAGAACAAACAGTGGATACAACGTTTATAAGAGGACAAACCCAGATCGACGTGCTCCCCCTCCTTGGAGGGGGTGTACGCGGTTTATTTATCATCTCTCAGTTGCGTCTCTGTCCTTGGACAGAGTGCGCTCAGGGGCTTCTCTGTCTAAGGACGGAGGGGCAACTAAGAAAATCATACTGAAGAGGTGCCCAGCCCTGGGGAACAGCTGCCCGAGGCCGCGCCCTCCCATTGCACAAGAGGGAGGGATCGGTGCTAGCACCGAGGCCAGCGCAACAGACGGGGGCTGAGGGGAATTTTTGTCTTTGCCCGGGTGTACGCGTTCGGGTCCCCACATTAAACCGACCTTGTGTCACATCTCGTTTTAGTGGGGGGACGAGTAAATACCAGAGGACAAACCCAAACCTGTTCAGAACACCAGGCAGAGAGGTCAAAAGCGTACGATGAAAAGAAAACAATTATGATGAATAAAATAGTTCTAACTAATTACAGTACAATGACTAAAATGTTTATTAGTTTATGGATGTGCTTGTGCAATACATGTGCATCAGTTATTTTTTAATGTACGGGTTTCTTGCGATATAAACAAGTAAAACTGTCCGCTGTTAGCCGGATTCCAAAAAAAAAAAACAACAAAGTAAAAGGAGGTATACTCATGGGTAAATTATAACATTCTAGAACAGATTAACAATAATGATTCCATTGATTCTAATAACCTGTTTCTTTATAAAGAAACATTCATTGATCAGACATCGACTTTCACTCGAATTACTTTTTTCTTCATTCTCTGGTCATCGGGTTGAGATCAAAGTGTAGTATCTGTTTTCCACATACCTAATGGTCATTAGTTATTTTCTTTTAAGGAAAGATTCAGCATGCATTGACCCAGCATCCACTTCTACTCGAGTTAAGCTTTTCTTCATTCTGTGGTCATCAGGCTGGGATCATATGTATAAAACCTGTGCTAATGTAATGTCTGTCTGTCTGTCTCTCTCTCTCTCTCTCTCTCTATATATATATATATATATATATAGAACAGATATTACATTAGAACGGGTTTTATATATATATATATTATGTTTTATATATACATAGAACAGATATTACATTAGAACAGGTTTTAGACCAGGTTTTTATATATATATATATATATATATATATATATATATATATATAATTATTTATTTTAAAATTATAACATAAATATGTTATAAAATCACTACAAAAATAGCCATTTTGTTTCAACACCTCCATTTTATAACATATTTATGTCATAATTTTTAAATAAATAATTATATTGCTCTACTATGTATTGAGCACTCTTTTAAGAATAGTAATTGTTGGTTATTGGAATTTATTCCGAATATACCAATCCTATACTGTTTTATATATATATATATATATATATATATATATATATGTGTGTGTGTGTGTGTGTGTGTGTGTGTGTGTGTGTATAAAGAAAGACAATCTTTGAAAACCCATTTCGGTTATAATTTATTTCATGAATATATTTATTTAAATATTCATCTCTTCAGACCAAACTCTTTTTTTTTTTTTAGAAATGACATCAATTTGTCCAAACAAAAGGAAAATGGAGAGCAAAAAAGACAGAAAAATGAAAAGGAAACTTTTTATAATAAAAGAGGAACTAAAGAAAAAAAAATCAGTATAATTTTTTTTTAAAAATTAGGGAAGAAAGAACAAGAGAGAGAGAGAGAGAGGGAAGAGAGAGGAGGAAGAGGAATAGAGAGGGGAGAGAGAGAGGGCGGGAGGGAGGGAAAGAAAAGAAAAGAAAGAAGGAAGAATTAAATAGGAGTCGATAGGTTGACCTAGAAATAAATTATTCCTTAAAGGGCTGAATTCGATAATATAAAGGAGGAGGGTGATCAGAATAAAAGCAGATACAGAAATATGTCTAATAGTCATGTCATTTCAGGCAGCAAAAAAACTCATCATCACATAATTATCATCACAATTTCAAATTAACAATAATAATAATATCCGACACCAAAAAATAATGTAAATCAAATTAAAAAAAATAAAGAATATAAAAATAAATTAAATAATTAAATAAATCACGACATAAATAAAGAACAAATTTAAAGAACAACTTAAAAATATAGATAAAGATAAAAATAATAAAAGTAATATTATCAAAAATATTAATATAAAAAGAATTAATAATTTAAATCTATAAATGATGTAGGCAAGACAATCTCATAAATGATCATATACCAAAAATAAATACACGTACGCATACATGTTAGTACCCATATAAAACAGAATTAACACTTCAAGTGTATACTCGCCAAAATCAATGATTTTAAGGAATTTTAAATCTGGTCTTATGTCTACAATTGAACATAAGTTCGTTGCTTTGATTCAATAATTGGTCAGCATTTTTATATCTAATCATTATAGTTTTCTCTTCTATGCATAGATTGCATCTGTTCCAGAAGTTGTTGGGAGTCTGAAACTGACAGATGATGCCCCATTTAATTTTGGTGCATATACGTTATTTTTATACATACAAATATTTAAGTAAATGCCCTGTTTATAATATATACTTTTAACTACATTTACCGGCCTGAATATTTCGAGAAATTTCATAGAAAATATGTTTCCAACAAGAATCGAACCTGTATCCAACACGGAACAGTTATATAGTCTGACGTGCTATACCATTTAGCTACAGAGGAAGCGTCTGGTTAGTAAAATCAAGTCACTGTTTTTTTTAAATTACAAATTTCCTATGATTTCTCTCGAACGCTCATATCTGCTCGAAGAGAATCTTAACGTAAACAAATGATATTAGTCCATTTCATATATATATATATATATATATATATATATATATATATATATATATGAAGAAAAAATATATGGGAAAACAAAAATCCGAATATGCAAATATGCTGTTTTAATGTCGACGTCAGACGTTTCAGTCTAGTAGACCTTCTTCAGGACATAGTTATTAAAACATAATTAACATTAGACGATATTCAAGTCAACATGAAAAGACGATAGACATAAGAATTGACTTGAATATCGTCTAATGTTAATTATGTTTTAATAACTATGTCCTGAAGAAGGTCTACTAGACCGAAACTTATGACGTCGACAGTGAAAACAACATTAAAACAGCATATTTGCATATTTGGATTTTTGTTTTTCCATATATTTTCTTCATACTATCGAATCTATATCCATATATTTGCTTACATATATATATATATATATATATATATATATATATATATATATATATATATATATATACATGGGTGATAACGATATATAAATTTTATATATCAAGAACAATTTTGTGGTGAAACGTGTGACATAATGGAAAAATTCTTCGCATTAAGCGCTTCGTTGTTTAGGACGAAATTTGACAAAAGTGATGTTTACATTGATGCCACTACACATGATCAAACATAGATTGAATAACGTCAATGGGAAAATCTCTAAAGAGCTTAGAATACCAAGGCACGTTGCTCATGGCACCTAGCAAACACATATAGATGTTGGGAGCATTTTGCATATGAAAAAAAAAAAAAAGAAACCTTCGAAATTAGTAGACAAAATAGTTCAAAGAAATAGATCAAATTAATACTTTGTCACGAAATGGCTGAAGGCGGCATTACTGCCGAATTGTCAACTCATGCAGTGAGAAGCAAACAAAAATCTCATCTAAATCAGACATTGGGCAGAAGAAATATCATTAACCAAAACAAACATGGAATAAGATGAAAACGCTGAGCCAAAAACATCTGCTATGGGATAATGAAAAATGAGCAAAAGTGATATATAACGGCAAAAATGAAAAATAGATGATTCTAATGCAAGAGAATATAGCTGAAGACCAATTGGAACAAGAAACAATCCAACATATATATATATATATATATATATATATATATATATATATATATATAGATAATATTAGTGGATATATATATATATTAGTGGATATATATATATATATATATTAGTGGATATATATATATATATATATATATATAACGCAGGGTATCATTTTCTGGTTGTGGTTAATTGGCGAGAGGGTAGGTTACTAAAAAAAATAATAAAAATCGATGGAACGCTAAAGAATGATAGTTTTCGTCTGAATTTTCTAGGTTGAGGATTCTGTTTATCCATTAAGTAATGTCCCAAAAAATTACACACGGTGAGGTCTGAGGATCTCGCAGCCCTAGCACAAATAGCAAGGTCTTGGTAAGTGCCTGAGCCAAGCGTAGTCTGTAAGGTTTCAAATACAGATGACTTCTTAGCACACGCCAAATAGTGGATTGAGAGTTTGCAAGCTCACGGCTAGCGCGATATGTGGACTTCTGTAGACTACCCCCAAAAGCAATACGTATTCTGGCCACTTGTTCCTCTTAAACACATAGCCGTCCAGGATGTTTTCCTTTACAGACACCCACTCTCTTGAAATTGTTTAAACCACCGTTGAATGTTCTTAGGAGAGGGCAGATTAATGTCGAATTAGCTTCGAAAAGCACGCTGCACCGTGCGAACTCGAGAACGCAGAACGCCTTTTGCTGAGGACTGAGGGTAAACAAACAACTGAACGTTGTGGTAGCCATTTAAAACTTAGAATAATCAACTTTCAAATGGTCACTGAAATCGGTTCATTCTTGTTTTTTTTTTAATAACCCTGTATATTGTTACATCCATTCATCCATGTGCACTTAAGTCGATTCATAATAGATTCAGTTATCCGGGTCGATGATTCTCGAGATTGAAAAAAAATTGATATTTTCTTTTCTGAAACTCGCAATATGAGGTTTGTAATGAATACGATATTATCACCGATAACATGTGATTTAATCTTTCATATTTAAAGTTACATTTTATTCAACATCACCAATTTTCAACGGTCAATGTGTGTCCGTGTGTGGGGGTGGAGTTCTCGTCTGAAAGAGGGACCTTATATTTCTCGTCTGCGATGTGTGAGAGACTAACCACTCCACTCTTGGATGGATGTTTTTATTCATAAAATCTACTGCATTTTGTTTCTGATTTTGTTCTCTTATTGCTTGTCAATAAGATTTCCGAATAAGATCAGCTGACGGAACACTCAGTCAATGCGAAGATCATGAGACACGCATTTTTGCTGAGAGGTTTTTAACGCTTTCTTGGAAATGTTTTATTAATCGATTGATTTGGTTATTTTTCCGGCTTATCAACCTTTTGCGGATTATTTAAAACCAGAAAATATTTTAAGATTGCAAAAATATTTTGTAGAAATAATAATGGTTTACTGATACAAATGCTACTAATTAACCCATAGCTGGGGAGAAAAGACGGATTCATAACTTTCACAATATTTGCGCGTAAGTGAATATAACGAATCCGACTGGAGTTGGAACTCGTCTCTCCGACTCCCAATTCCTAGCCGTTGTCCATTACACCACCCGCACACCCAAGCGTCAATGTGATATGGACGTAAGCCAGTAATTTTTATCTTTACAGCGTTAATATTCCCACAGAAAAAAGAAGAGCGATTATGTTTTGCATAATAAATTCTAAACACAATTATATCAGCAAACCAAATAACTTTGAGGGAAATCATTTTAAATTAAGAGATTTAAAACAAGTATGTATTTTCATTTAATTAAAATTTCTCTTTGATTAATTTGATATGTAAGGCACTCAAGGTGGTATACAGTATCGGTCCTTTTCATTTCAGTGTAGTAGAGTAACATTTCAGTGACGTGTTTTCAAAAGTAGAAAACATTTCTTATAATCAGTGAAAAAACGCCACGAAAGGCACAAAAAATGATCAACTAAGTACACATCAATAATCAGGTGTCTAAGAACGTGTCGCTGATTTATGTGATCAACTGAGTCCATGTCATCAACTGCTGATGCGGACTTGATGATGGAACGCATGTATAAATTGACCAGGAAAGCATTTTCTCAGAGAGAGAGAGAGAGAGAGAGAGAGGAGGAGAGAGAGGGGAAGGAGGAGGCGGAGGAGGATGTAGCGAAGAGAATTCACGCCTAGCTTGCCTTTTCCAGCAACCGGGAAAGGAAGAGACACTTTAAAATGATAAAAATGTACGATTTCACTTCTCACGTCCCTATTCTTTTTTTCTAATGTCTAATATCTAACTCGATATATTATCCTGTACAGCAGAGCTTATTTAATCTTCTCCTGATTCTTCTTCTATGTACCGATGGGGACATAACCAGTCATCGTTCTCCACAAATTCTTATCTCTGGCGACCCTTAGTAGTTTTTCTTTTTTTACAAAGCACCATTCATTCTCACAAGGTCGTCAGGTAAGTGCCTTTCCCTTTATCCGTTGCCCTCAATACGCCCCGTGGTATTTTCCAAACCTTCTTTTCTCCTTATGTGTCCAAAGAATTTCAGCTGTCTTTTCCTAATTCTGAGTAGAAGTGTTCTGTCTGTGGCCATTTTCTGTAAGACTTCCTTGTTGCTTAATCGCTGTGTCCATAAAAGATTCAGTATTCCTCTATAGAACCACAATTCTCCTGCCTCTTTTTTCCCCTCTTCCTCAGGGAGATTGTCCAACATTCACTGTCATATAAGTGGATATGGATACAATATAGCAATCGAACATTGCTTTCTTTGTTACTAACGATTTTTTTTCCGTTTCTCAGTATAACATTTGGAATGCTTCTTTCTCTGGTCCAATAAGCGTTCAAATCGCGGTGTTGCATTTTCCATCTTCTGTTAAATATACTTATATTCAGATATTTGAAATTCTGCACCTGCTTGATGTTTACATCTCCAGTTCGTAATTCGCCTTTTGGGCTTTTTATCTTGCTGATGACCATCCTTTCTGTCTTTTTGCATTTGCTGGTCACTCTTTTTTTTTCTCGTTTTCTTCTACAACCTTCCTTAGGAGGTCCTGTAGTTTTGTTTCAGAATCAGCCATTAACATAATATCATCTGCGTATCTTAAATTGAAATGAGGCCCACCGATAATAAATCCTGGTAGGGTCTCCAGCTCCCTTAGGATAGCGCTTATTTAATAACTAAACGAAATATCGTAGGTTAGACGTGTGGTATGATGCTGGAATAGGATTGACCTCAAGTTCGCACCAAATCGCCAAAGGAAACCAGGAGCAGAGTTGAACTCCCAACTGGGAGTAGAGATCCGCGCAATTCAGTGGTGACCCAAGAGGTGAACACCTGTGCACAAGGATGCACTTGATATGTGCACGAGTGAGAAAAAAGCTGTTTGTCAGAAGGATAGATAAAGAACCGGACTGGAGTCAGACAGTGTGACAGACACAAGAAATCGGAGAGCTGAGTTCAAATTCCAGTTGGCTTTATTAGATTCTCTTACGCGCAAATACCCTTGGGAAAGGGGAAAGGTAGGGATCCATGTCTACTCTCCGTCACTCAGGCTTCGGTCAAATAGTAGGACTTTTATCTGGAAGAATCAATGGTATTCTCACCAAAATTTGTTTATCCAATATTCTCTCTCTCAAAAAAAAAAAAAAAAAAAATTCTTTTTAACCTCTTGGGAGCACCGATTACTGTAAGTAAGTAACTGTTGAGGGGTCCACCCCTTTTTACACAAATGGACTCACCCAGTATATACATATACTACTGCTACGGGAAGACGAGAGCAAGACCGAAGAGTCGAGTCCAGAGTGACCGAGTAAAAGGTTGTAGGTAACCGGAAGAGTGAGGGGTGAGGTAACAGCGTTGTAGGAGTCACAGTGAGCGAGCACGTAGACTCAGTAAGAAGTCATACAGCGATACTTCAATACCAAAGACTTTATATATATATTTGCTACTAACCCGTATTCCTGGAACTACTAACCTGCATTATCAGTTTGTATTATTACGTTAATACATTATTTTCATATATTCCTTCTTGGCGATTGTTATTTATTGGTACCGGATTTCAACCCGGAATCCACAACAGTAACCTTCTATAGTTCGAAATGTTTCGGCTTTAAATAACACACAAAGGGTTGATAAGCCGTAAAAAATCAATCAATCGATCAAACAAGAATGTAAAGTCACACGTTTGCCAGTACAGAGTTTGCACTGAGATTAATACCAGACTATCAAACCTGCGTTAGTCATGGTATGTTTTCGGGTGTGTTTTTTTTACCCACATTTTTTTTAAAGTTCTAGTAATTCCTAGTTGGTAAATTATTTCTATTGCACCCCACATCTACTCCCCCTAATTCAGAGAGAATGTGTAGCACTCGGTTTGTCGCAATTGTAGGTCAGTTGTCCTGGGAGGTAGACGATAGGGGGCTATCCGTTTTCGGAAATCAAAGGTGACTAACGCAGGGTTAAGGAAGTTAGGTGCAGAGTTGATCTGAGATGACACCAGCCGGGGATGAGAGATGTGGAGGTCCGCGATTCACCGGTCGTCGGTGGTGAGCAGAGAGATAAATACCTATGGGGCAAAGGCTGTAACTGATATGTGAGCTCATGAGACAAACCGTTGGACAGATGGATATATAAACAACCGGCCGAGAGATGGAGCTGAAGTCGCTCTCCAAAGATGCCAGAGGAGAACGTAGGTTTCGCGTGTCGGCCGAGGCCGAGGACTACGAAGCTGGGCCGCAAACCACAAACTCCTCGAGAATAAGTGACGAAATATTGAATTAAATAAAATGTTAAGTAATGAAGATTCAGGTCTCGTATTATCAGTCAATCGGCACACCCACTTTAAAGGCACAATTTCGACATATTTAATTAATTCCAAATCTGCCATTCGTTGCCCAGGGATGTAACAGTAAGAGATAGATCAAGTATCCACCATCATAAAGACTGAAAAATAAAATTGACAACGATTATTGTTTAAGATTGACGGACACGCATGTCTTAATTAGTTTTTTGTTTTGTTTTGTTTTTACGAATTGGTCAAACCCAAACTCAAAAAAACATTGTTTTCAATCGTTATAAGTCTACCGATTGAATAGAATTTTTTATTATAAACAATTGTCTTGTAAATGGAACTTTTAAAGCATTCTGAATGTAAAAAATAAAGAAAAAAAAAAAAGATAAGAAACATTACCCAAAAAAAAAAGTGAAGTTTTGTTGAAATCGGTTGAAAATGTAGGAATTTGATCCCATATATAAACGAACACACACACACACACACACACACACACACACACACACACACACAACCTGGGTTTTATAAAAGTATAACTGATATGAGTTGTCACTCTTTTATTCTCGCGTCAGCGATGACTTTAATCGTGTTTTCAAATTGATTTCTGCAAAACAATTGTGTTTTTCTGTTGTCAGAACCACCGCAGGGTAATTTTGTTAGTCCTGTGAAAGTTTTGTTGAAATCGGTTGAAAATGTAGGAAATCCGATCCAATATATAAACGAACACACACACACACACACACACACACACACACACACACACACACACACACATACACACACAACCTGGGTTTTATAATAAGTATGATTATAAGAATAATTCTTTCTTTTTTATTTGCATTTTGGAGATAATAATGTTTTTCCATGATATATAAGTTTATTTAATCCATAGCTGTGGGGAAGATGAGATGAATTTATACCTTTCATAAGGGTATTTGAATGTAACTGAATATAATCACCTCGCCTGGAATTCAAACACGGCTTCCTGATTTCTGAGTCGCTATCCATTACACCATCCGCACATCCCTCCTGAAAAAAAATCGAGGTTATATAACTATCTCACTATCAAACTCTTCCATCTCCCTCAAGATATCGAACTGACAGAGCAAACGGAAAAACTTGACACAAAAGAAAGCAGACAATCAACTCCATCGATCACCCTTGCGGGCAGGACTAACGCTATCGTTTTCTATTTCGAATCTTACGATTTCGTTTATCAATTTAATTCAAAGCTGCGTTTTTCTTTGTTAAATATGCGAACATCGCCACTATAAATAAACTAAATAGAGATATGAATACCAGAATACTAAACTTTGAAAGTCAGCAATTACGGAATAGAAAAGACCGTACATGGCAAATATTGGACAATAGGGCAAAGAGGCTGTGGAATGGCATCAACTTGCAGACCGAAATAAAAGGCAGTCCGGGTTGAACGAAATATAAAAATAGAAATGTTCATATTTGTCGACCATTTAGAATAAAAGTTTCTACTGAAAAAAAGACTTTAAATGAATCAGGTTATTCAGCATTACAGCGTTGTGATAAGAAGTTAACGAAAAAACCTCTTTGGCCATCGCTCAATTAGGATCCATTTAAACACACACGGAAAACTACCAAGCTCCATCCGCAACATACTTGTAGAAAATACGAAAATGTAACATGTAAAAAAGATTAAAAATAATGTAAGCACGGACAATAAAAAAGGAAAAAAAGCCAACACTCAATAACATTGATTATGAATATAGCCACAGTGTTCTGACCGTGTTTGGAAAATAAAACATTCCTATAACTCCAGATAAAATGCATATAAAATCCACACATAGTTAGAAATAAAAATCATCCTCGATAATGTCTAAAAGAATAGCTGAAAACGTTCAGATATGCAGTATATTTGGACAATTTTTATATACTTTATGCCCAGAAAAGGAAACGCTATTACAGGCACAAGAAAAATTAATTAAAAAAAGCTTAATTGCAGTACCTTATCAGTTGTCTCTAATTAAATTTGTATAAAATAGGGATTGCTGCTCAAATACGCATTTACAGACACAAATACGCACACACACACGTATATATATATATATAGGAATCCATTTGCAGTTAAAGACACTGATATCAACATCAAGCAACGACAGAACGTTTTATACTTGAACACAGTCTTAAGACCATCTGTATTGTATTTTGGTTTGACTATTTATATATCTGGGAAATGGTATGTTATGAGTAGCAAGGGTCAGTGTATTAACCTAATACAGTAACAAAAACGGTAGATGGTAACAATGTTGACCTGAGTTTCCACTTTATATTTACACACGCTCTATCCCTAATATTACATCCATAAATATGGTTTACCTTGAAATCATATATATATATATACATATATATCGTGCGATAGATAAAGTGTCGTTTAAATTACGCAAAAATCAAAATAACACTGACCTCTCAATTTAACAGATACATTTACCAAAATAACACAGAAATATCTTGAAACACGAAAGCGTAAATTTATTCAATGAAATCGTTATTGGCTTCAACTGCGCCCTGCAAATGTCTTCGGAATCTCCTGCAAATCCGAGAAACGTATTTTCGTACTCATCATTAGACTCATTCAACTCTTTCCGAATCCTCTGCACTGTCCTGAGATTGGCACCCAAACAATCGGAAATGTTCGTATTGGAGCTTCTGGTGCGAATGCCAAGCAGTACAGAAGTTTTGACGCACGAGAAGAGGACATTAAGGAAAGTTATCTATGAAAAGGCATTTGACTCAGATGAACACTCGCAAAGGACGATGATAAGTATTAAATTAATTTGACAATCATAAGACATTTGACTTATTAGGATATTGGAAAGTTTTAACTTACTATAAATAGAGAACATTAAGGAAAGTTTAATAAATATCAAAGAGAATATATATATATATATATATATATATATATATATATATATATATATATATATAGACTAGAGAAAGAGATAAAAAGGAAAGTACGAATAAAGGACTAACTATAGATTGTAAGAATACAAAATATCGTCATTAAGTAGGGTGAAAAAAGCTCAATATGTGAGGTAACCTGGATGGATATATATATATATATATATATATATATATATATATATATAAATATATAGCCTAGAGAAAAAACCTATCAGTTTCACAAAAGCGGATCGTCAGGAAGGCTGGCTTCCTGACGATCCGCTTAGGCGAAACCTTGATAGGTTTGTTATTCTCTAGGTTTAACTAGGTCTTCTCTAAATTTTTTTTTTAAGCGTTTCACCCCAAGCAAAGCGAGAAGCCACTAGGACGCAAGGGGTTACAGAAGATTTAGAGCAAGATCAGATAGGAGTGATAGAGAAAAAGATGAGGAGAAGGATAGTGGATAGATCAAGGCAACTGGAGATGTCAATTGACATTACATTTGAATAGTAGGAGATTATAGCTCTCAGGGAAAGTGGAATAGGGAAGGGAGTTCCACGGGCGAGAGGTGCGAGACATAAAGCTATTGGAGTAGAAGAGACGGCTACATTTAGGAGTTTCGACAGTGAAAGGGTGAGAGCGGGATGCCAGCCTCCTACTGTATCGAGCACTTTATTTAGTTATTTTGCTTACTCGTATCGGCTTTTTTTTTTCTTTGGGCCTTGGACTTGCATGCTAGACGATTATTTCCGGCTAACGTCCATGTTCATTGTTCTTTCTTTTCTTTATATACCTTTTTTTCCGATTGTTATTAATTTGATTATTTGCAAATCAAAACACTGAAGGTTTTCCGAACGAGTATAATTTCTTATGCTTATAAGATTACTACTAATAATCTTACTTATTATAAAACACAGATTGTGTGTGTGTGTGTGTGTGTGTGTGTGTGTGTGTCTGTACGTTTATATATTGGATCGCATTTCCTACATTTTTCAACCGATTTCAAAAAAACTTCACAGGACTATGTAAAATTACCTTGCGGTGGTTCTGACAGCACCAAAAATTGGAAAAACACAATTGTTTTTGCACGAAATCAATTTGACAACACGATTAAGAAGCATCGCTGTCACGAGAATGGAAGGGGGACAACTCATATCGAGTTGTACTTATTATAAAACCCAGGTTGTTTGTGTGTGTGTGTGTGTGTTCCTTTATATATGGGATCGGATTTCCTACATTTTTTAACTGATTTCAACAAAACTTTACTTTTTTTGGCAGATAGTGTTTCTTATTGTCTTGCACACTTTTTTCTTTATTTTACATTCAGAATGCTTTAAAAATTACATTTACAAGACAATTGTTTATAATAAAATTCTATTCAATCGGTAGACTCATAACGATTGAAAACAATATTGTTGTTTCAGTTTGGGTTTGACCAATTCGTAAAAAAAAAAAAAAAAAAAAAAAACGAATTAAGACATGTGTGTTCGTCAACCTTAAACAATAATCTTTGTCATTTTTATTTTTCAGTCTTTATGATGGTGGATACTTGATCTATCTCTTACTGTTACATCCCCGGGCAACGCCGGGCTCTACTGCTAGTATATATATATATATATATATATATATATATATATATGTGTGTGTGTGTGTGTGTGTGTGTGTGTGTGTGTGTGTGTGTGTGTGTGTTCTAACAGAACCTAGATGTAAGGGAAAGTTAAAATATCGATTATAAAATATATAGCAGCAACTAAGGAGTCGTAAGATATTTTAGAACCCTCATCAACTAAGACAATGCTAAGTTCTCGATGAAAACAAGAAGCTCAACAGCAGTAAGATAAACAACAAGAATATTCTTCAATTCTGTAGAAGA